GGGGGGCAGAAAGCGGAGATGAAAGCAGATGACAGATCATGACTAGAGAGCAGGAAAGGAAGTTAAAGGAGAAAGTTTTTAATAACAAGACCTATTGAATGAGAATCTGCATAGGAACATATCAATCCAAAACCACTATATTACTCATGATAAGTAGAGTTCAAAGCGAACTTTTCACCCCTCCACTTTTCCCTGCAACAACAAAAACAGTTGAAATAAATAGCATCTCCAATCATGAATAAATCATTATATTATCATTGTGTTACGAACAAGTACTTTACCCTCTTGGTCTAACAAGCACGCACAGTTTATTTCAGTGCATGATTCAAACTCTTGAGAAGTACAACTGCTACATGAACGCATTTCGTAAACTTCACAGAAGAATGAACATGTCGAAGTTCAAATAATATATAAACTGTCTCGCTCCAATTGCGCAATGCTCGATCTGGCACACAGCCTAACGTGACGAAATTCTAAAAGACCATGTGACATGCGTCAGGAGTAAACTTGACTGATAAAATGTTTCCTTCTTATATGGAGACCTCTGGTGTCTTATGCAAACGGGGAAGCACATCAGTGATATATTTAGCATATTATGCTAAATATAGTGGCTCAATAAAAGCAATGCCCTATTCGCAAACTGGGTTATCGTTTTCAGGTAGCCAAGGAACCAACAGACAGCTTGTATCATAAATGTAGACACCCCCTCCCCTAACCGTCCCTTTTCTGGTTTCCTCGAGGTCCTAAATTAGAATTACAATGTGTAAAATGACCTCCTTGTATGTCCTACATCTTCCTCCTACTTTAATCGGTTCAGTAATTTCCCTCGGTCCCCTTTCCCAGGCATTTCTCTCTGCATGCTTATACACTGAGTATAATTTGTATCTTAATTACCAACCTTTGTAACAAAGAAGTTTGTTGATTATTCCTACTGCACCTACATACATTAGAACGACGTCGTCAATCAAGCAAGAAACTAATAACGACGCTTCCAAACAAAACAAAATCATAAATAAACAACAACAACAAAAC